CACAATACACTAAATATACTCATCAGTTTATAATAAACAAACCTGTAATGTTAATCAGTGGTCCCTCTCCAATAGCATTAACTGGTTTTATGTATACTGTATATTCATTATTGGGATATAGTCCATTAATAGTTACATTAGTATCAGTTGTATTAATAGTAATATTGTGTACACTAACAATGTAATGTACTGGAGGATAATGTGATGTAGTATCCTATTAATAATAATAATGATTTATAGTTAATAATATCTTAACATACTTCATTGATATTCCACCATATTGTAATACTATCAGTTGATATCTGATCCCAACTAATATTAACAACTTGAGCTGGTACTATAAGAAATACAATGAGTGTGTGTGTGTATAGTACTTACCATTCCATATATACTGTATTAATGATGAAGGAGGTCCTTCTCTCCCAATAGTATCAATAGGAATAATAATAAATGAATAATTAGTACCAATAATAAGGGAAGGAATAGTTGCTGATGATTCATTACTGATCATATGTCCATTAATATTATCATCACTGATTATTGTAATATTATAATATTGAATACAGTGTACTTCATCATTCTTTTCATAGTACCAGTTTATCAATACTGTATTGTTATTAATTGGTATTATCTTTATATTAATAACTGATATTGGTACACCTATACATAGATACAGTATTATGATACATATGGTTCATGATGTATCTTACCTGCAATATGTACAGTTAACCTGCTGTAACTAACTCCATCTCCAGAGCAGCCAACAACAGTTCCATTGAGTTGTAATGGAACAAATACATTGATACTAGCAGTACTTGTTATTGTATTATTAGTAATATCAGTAATTGATAATAAAAATCCATTAATCTGATCAGTTTTATTATCATTGCTTAGGGCACGACTTGAACCATTGATCCTCCATGCAACACCACCTTCATTAGTACTACAAGTGAATACTAGTGTATCTCCAGGACATATAATATCATATGATGAAGAGGACTGGCTGAATGATAGCACTGTACTTGATGATACTATAGTCAATGATAATAAGTGATTAATTATAATGAAACTGCTTACCATGGACACTGCTTGACAGCAGAATAAAGAATATGATGATCATCTTCAAATGTCAGCCACACACACTTGTGACCTGTGACACACCCATACATATAGTTATAGTTATTTCATTGTTACATACTAAAGTTCTATTCACTGCTCTCAGCTTATGAATAATGTATAACTTATATACTGTCAATCCTGCCCATGCATTCATCAAGTCAAGAGACATTATTCCAAGAACTTAAAACGCTAACTGTTCCAAGATTTTGCATATTAAAAAAACACAGTTCGGGTCATTATATTAACTGCTAAACCAACTATTCCAGGAAGTTCCTGGAATAGTTGGTTTAGCAGTTAACATAATGACCACAGAATGATGATTGTATGGTGCAGACTGATTGTTAGCATAGTGATATATATCAAAGAATTAATGGTTTAATGGATGTTAATGCACACTCACACATGCTACACAGTAAGTTTAAAAATAATTAAAAATACATTATTACAAAAAAGTTTATGTCAGAGCAAATGTAACAGAGAGAAATTTAACTATAGAAAGAGAGATGACATACATTAAACTATCATGTTTATATGGTATACTTACTGTTATATCACTGCATATGTCACTGGTTGGACACTAGTGGGTGGACACTGTGGTCTACTGTCCTTAGGGACTATCATTACATCAGCATAAAGCAGGACCTTATTAGCTGATTCAACCTAACAATATAAACTGTGTAATTATAATGTTTTCATAATGACACTTTCATTATTTTCCAATCGTGAGTCCCAATTTACACATTATTTTGTATATCAATGCTTTTGAACACTTTCTGAGAAAACAATAAAATATTCCCAAATTGAATTATACAAGAGCATACAATACATTAATCTTCTTATAGTATTATCATTATGGACTAACTATATATGTAGTTAAGCTATTATGGGCTACAGTTAAACTATAAACTTTTGATTTCCCAAAGCTCTTATGCATACTATAAACATCTGAATATATGTACTGTATTTTTACTTACTGGCACTTGATTTTTATTGACTGAGGAATAAACAGGACCTTGTCGTGATCTGTCATCATTAATCTGTAATTAATATTATTATTGTATTTATTATTACACTTAAAGTCATCAATTTAGTTTTACTTATATAAGCAGTAAACAGACATAAACAATACAATAACAAACTCACTTGATTTTTATTGACTGTAGAGTACATGGGACATTGTCCATTCTGTTCATCATTTATCTATTTATCATTATTATTAATATCAATGTACATATTATTATCATGCTACTTCATTGTAATTGTATTGAGGAGGTATTGGTGGAGGTACTTCTTCATATTCCATCATATCACCTTTCCTAATGACACTGTACTGACCTACAAACAATACCCAATAAGTACTGTAGTTTACTGTTTTTGTACAACCATTTCGATATACACAATATATAGCATGACTTAATGATGTTATTCTTTCATAATGATGTTTTTCATGCCAGACAAGGCATAGCTTTATTTGTAAATAGTGAGAGAGTTATTGTTCTACTTTTATGAACTGTCAATAAACATATACCCCCACCCATTCCTCTTCTACCATACAATCTTCTCTAATACATATGCATACATTCTTACTTTCAATAGACTGTCCTCCAGCAGTTGGCACAACATATGACTCCAATCCAGTTGGTTGTAGCTATAAATAGCATTTAATGATATATTATAGGAATTTGTGTGTTACTTCATGATTGTTAGTGTTCCTCAACTAAAACATTAGGGTGCGTTAATGTGTAAAATAAAAATTTAAATTTACCTCAACTTCTGTGTACTTTTCAGTATTCCTACAATAATTATTTATGATAACTAAATATATAAATAACATTCAATTCACCACTTTTCTTCTTTCTTTACGCCTACAGTATATTAATAATGCAAGAAATATGCACAATATATTCATACTTACTTTTATGTTTCCTTTTATACATAATACAGACCAGAATTACAATGATTGCTATGATACATGTAATTAAAATTGCACCAATAGAACCAAAAATTGAAAACAATAAGCTAGAATTCATAGATCCACTACTTGATGGTGTTGTTGATGGTTCTACACTACTTGAAGTTACTGATACAAAAATTGTCAGAGATACTGATGTTGTCATCAATCTGTTGTTACCACTAGTGGTGATAGCATCAGATGATCTTTCTTCAGTAACTGAAACTATGAAAATATGCAATATACACAAATATTACACATATATTAAGTATGCTTTGTAATATGTAATATTCATATACTAACCATCATGTAGATCTACATTAGTAGAAGTAGTTTTTCGCTCAGTTATGTTAACTAAATAAACATACACTAAATGTTATTGTACACATTAACCTACAATAAACAAACCTGTAATGTTAATCAGTGGTCCCTCTCCAATAGCATTAACTGGTTTTATGTATACAGTATATTCATTATTGGGATATAGTCCATTAATAGTTACATTAGTATCAGTTGTATTAATAGTAATATTGTGTACACTAACAATGTAATGTACTGGAGGATAATGTGATGTAGTATCCTATTAATAATAATAATGATTTATAGTTAATAATATCTTAACATACTTCATTGATATTCCACCATATTGTCATACTATCACTTGATATCTGATCCCAACTAATATTAACAACTTGAGCTGGTACTATAAGAAATACAATGAGTGTGTGTGTGTGTATAGTACTTACCATTCCATATATACTGTATTAATGATGAAGGAGGTCCTTCTCTTCCAATAGTATCAATAGGAATAATAATAAATGAATAATTAGTACCAGCAATAAGGGAAGGAATAGTTGCTGATGATTCATTGTACATAGTCATAATATATATTAATCTGTTGCTTCTATTATTTTTTATATAATCACTGATTATTGTAATATTATAATATTGAATACAGTGTACTTCATCATTCTTTTCATAGTACCAGTTCATCAATACTGTATTGTTATTAATTGGTATTATCTTTATATTAATAACTGATACTGGTACACCTATACATAGATACAGTATTATAATACATATGGTTCATGATGTATCTTACCTGCAATGTGTACTGTTAATGTGTTACTGTAACTAACTCCATCTCCAGAGCATTTAATGGCAGTTCCATTAAGATGTAATGGAGTAGAAACATTGATACTAGCAGTACTTGTTATTGTATTATTAGTAATATCAGTAATTGATAATAAAAATCCATTAATCTGATCAGTTTTATTATCATTGCTTAGGGCACGACTTGAACCATTGATCCTCCATGCAACACCACTTTCATTAGTACTACAAGTGAATACTAGTGTATCTCCAGGACATACAATATTATATGATGGAGAGGACTGGCTGAATGATAACACAGCAGGTGAAGATGATGACGATGACAGGCCTATATCTGTAGAGTTAGTTTTAACTTTATGTATTTTCATACAGTTGTATTAAAACTCACAAGAAACAAGACTGGAAAAGCAAAATACAATAATAAAGAAGAGCATTATTCAAGCAGGCAACTTTATTAAGCTTGTACCATGACAGATTCTTGGAACGACTGATCACAATGATCTATGGGCATATCTAGGCGTAATCAAAAGGCGTGGTCAAAGGGCGGCTCCGGCTCCAGCTATAGCCATAGATAATAGAGTACAGTACAGCGTCTTTCACTTCACTTGGATCATAGATACTACAGCGCTTTGCACAAAACTTGCACCAGTCTAATCACGTGACTTCATAAAAATATTAAGTTAAGCCTATGGCTAATCATCACGTGACTGGTGGCAAGTTCTCTGCAAAAGGCTGTATATATACCAAGTGGATACAAAACAGGATGTGCCTATGCTCTTTTCACCGGATGTGACGTTTTCCTAGATACGCTTAGCAACCAAAATGGTGGCAAAATCAATAATAATTATAAAAAAACTTCATAAAAATCTATATTTCTTCTGAAAAGAGTCAGTACAAGAAACAATAGACAAAGTGGGCTGAAAGACGCTGTACACTGAAAGGAAACTTTATGGCGTACCTTTTGTGTCATTCTGTTATTCTTTATTTCTCATTCTGTAATAACTTTGACTACACCTACCAAAATGGCCTCGTGTGAAGACGTTGATAGACAGAGAATTGGAACAAGAAGTGATGCAACTCGATAAAGAGTACAGAGAAGGTCAGTACTGACTAACGTAAGCCTATGTAGCTTTATGGTTTTACAGGAGTGTGAAAGTGGGTTCACCTTTCTGTATGCTGTTAATCCATACGTTTATTTCTTTTGTGATTGGAGAAGAATGAATAACAGACCAGTCTTGTGGAATAAACGTGATTACTTTATTAAGCTTTCAAAGGATAATCTTACAGATTTTTTTGAAATTTAGAGATGCACATCGTTTACTTAATACTAAGGAGGAATCAGATATTTTTGTTGTAGCAGTTTGCAGTATAGTAACCCAATTTATGAATGCTAAGGGTTACACCTTAAATCTGCCGAGAGGTATGGAAGTAATTATTTTCTAGTGCCTTTCCATGACATTTTTGAACTTGGATATTATGTTCAACAATTATGTCACGAAAATAACATTATTATTGATTAATAAATCAATTGTACACACATGCAATACTCACTCTGTTTATCACTTAATTATAATTCCATTATAAATACTGTCATTTACACTTTTGTTATCATAATTCATGTAACTAAATTACCGTTCAGAAAGAGCTAGAGAGATTTGATTGCTTCTAGAACTTCCATATATATGTCAACTCCACTGGAACTAGAATTGTGAAGCACATCAATGTCTTGTAACTGTGATAAATCAATATTGAGATTGATAGGTTCGACATAATATTGTCCTCAAGAATGGGCACTGGTGCATTGACATCTGTTCCATATTCAGCATCAACAGTGGCATAAAAATCATCTGAAATTTTACCAGCTGCTTCTAGTTTTGCAATACCAAGTGTAAATAGTTTAATAGGTGGCATGCCTTTTTCTGTTGATAATCCATGAATATTCCAAGCCTTTTGGAATTCATATAATGCTTCATTTATTCGTGGTATGTACGTGTAGTGTAATGCATAAAGATGACGATTATTTAATGGATCCAATATGTGATTTGCTTCCATAGAGTAGAAAAGCTGATAAAATGGAAATATAGCTACCCTAAACATGTCCCTCCAAAGCCTCTCAATCCTTTGATTATGTATGGATGAGCCAGTGATCATACTGCCTCTATCAAATCCCCGATATGCCAACATAAATTCAGCAACTTTCACATTCTCCAGTCCTCTGTCAGAATGAACATGTGATAGTACAAAGTACGATCTGGTGGCATTAATGAAGAGGTTACAAACAGTTGTAGCTTTGTTATTATTACTACACTACATATATACAATAAGTCTAGAGTAGCCATCTATTCCAGCATGAATGAATATTTTCCAGCAGACTAATTTATGGTTCCCATCTACAAAATGAACATAACAAAAATAATATTAGACTATACTTATAGCATACCTATATGCCATAGACTGTTAGGACCAGTTACAGAGTATTGTTTTCAAGAAAGCTTTGCATTCCATCTTAAACTAGTGCCAATTGGATCAACGTCTAGTCTCGTACCCCGCCCCACGAGACTAATCAACGTCATGAATAACATTCCTCAATCTTTCACAAGTAACTTGGATTCCTTTGCTTCGTACCGCAGCATGCATCATTCTTTCTCCTGCATCTAGATATTTGTTTTTGATATCAGTTACCAATGCAATGCTATTCTATTGTGATCATTGAATGTCAATGTATGGATCAGAGTAATTAGCTTCTTTGCATTGCCTTACTAGTGTTGACCGACCGGCGACTGATACAGAATAATCTAGCAATTTCTTCCCACTTCATTGAAATGGAACGTAGAAATGCTACTGAATCAATGTCTATCTTTATCTTCCATCTTCCAGTTGTTGTTAACTCCGGCTTTGTATGAGACTTGCTGCTGTAGCTGTCACTACTGAGAAATCATAATTACTATGGCAGTTGCTTTGTAGAGCCAGTAATTGATGAGAGCACTCTGTATGCTTTCTCCAATATCGTATGAAGCCTCTCTCTTAAGTAATCCAAGTGGAATGGGGGAACTGATATCATCAGTCATCAGGAATACAAGTAGACGCATCAAAGAACAAATGCAATGGTCTAACTTGTCCAACAAAGATTCAAACAAAGATTGTGATTCTGAATCACTCCTTCTGTCGTACTCTTTCAAAGTTTTGCTAATGAACTTCAACAGCTCTTGCCAGTGATGCTGCCATTTTGAGATAATTCTATATAGGCGGGTCCGTGGGTGGGGCTCCTTATGACAGAATAGAATCATAGATATTAGAGTACATAGATATTATTATTATTATTATTAATACTTTACAACACATAATACAGAGAGCAAAGATACAAGTGGTAGAACAGAGAGAGAGAGAGTTGTGTTGAAGGTCTAACACCAACTAGTGGAGTAGCCTTGATGAGTATAAAGAGGAGACATACATACATTAATCAAAATAAATTTAAAAGATACATACATTAGACACAAGCACATAAACTACACGGACAGAGAAAATGAAAAGAGCAAGTATTGTTTGAATCAAAGTGTGAGTGGAAGTGATGCCAAAAATGCCTTAAAATCTGATGCTTGATGTGGGAGGGAGACTTAGAGATATCAATGTGTGGTAGTTTATTCCAGAGCCGAACAATCC